AGGATGACAACACGGAGGGTGGTGGGTGGTGGTGTGCGGTGGTGGTGGTTGGTTGTGTGCAGGTACGGAGGGGGAGGGTTGGGTGTGTGCAGGGGACAGGCCGGGAGTGCCGGGGTCGGTCGGGTCAGGAGGATGGTAAAACGTGGTCGTGTCAGAGGTTGAAGCTCAAAGTCGACTTGGGTACTGGGTCACTGGGTGGTGGATGTGTTTGAGGGACCGAGGGGAGAGGGAAGGGTGCGGATCAATGTGTGCGTGAGCAGAGGAGGGGGAGGGAGGGGAGGGGAGACAAGGGAAAGGATGGAGAGAGGGTGACGACAAACGCGCGTGCTGGAATCGCGCAGGGTCGAGAGCAGAGGGTCACCACAAGACGCGTCTGTGCGGGGAGGGAGCCTTTCTTGACAAGGAGACAGATTCGAGATGACACCGAGCGGTCGCGCAAAGTGTAGTGCGTCTCCCACTCTATCCTGTCCTTCTTGACACTTCGCTTGCCGTTAGAGCCTTTGCGAGGTACGACGTAGGGGAGGGCCGACGAATCGCTGTCGAGGTCGTGTCCGCCGCGCGCAAAGGGTTCACCGGCGGCGCCTTTAAAGTTGTGTTGCACTGAATCAACACAACAAATCGACAATCGAGCGGAAAAAACACACACACACACAACACAATCAAGTCGATATGCTTGTGATTGTGATGCTTTCGTGGTTTGGGCTCGAACAAAGTACACTACTCTGAAGCAAAAGCGTAACCGTATACCCGGAGCGATGTCTGAGTCTAGGTGGCGGCGTGGTCGGATAAGGGGGACAGATAGCGTCGGCGGGAGTGCAAAGGGAGGGTCGGGCCAGGTGCGGGCGGGCGGGCGGCAGAGTCTACTCTACTGTCGGTGCACGGTTTTCGCAGGGCCGAATGGATGGCGATGGACACGCGGAGGTCGGGGATGGGGGATGCGCGGGGAGTGAGGGTGGATTGGAGATGTATGCCGATATGATGGATGGTGAAAGCGATGTGCGGCGTGTGTGTGTGTGTGTGCGTGCTGCGAGTGCAGTGCTGGTGCTTTGGTGCAGGTTTGGTGGTGAGCGGTGGGTGGGTGGGTGCAGTGCACGCAGTAGTGATGGGTGTGCACTGTGGTGGGTGGATGGACGTGGTTGGGTGAGCGAGGGCCCCTGTCCTGAAGGGTGGGTGGGACTCTGCCAGGAGTTGGTACGGCGGGTCGCGGTTTGGGACAATTCGTACAATGGCGTGGGTGAGTCAACCACTCTCCAACGCCATGTAACAAGACACTAGCTCTGATAAGTCCTCCTCTACTCCCCTCGGTCCTCTGCTCCCTCTGCTATCCTTGCATCCTTTGGCCGACTATCACAACGTTACACAGCGTCGTTGCGACAACCGGTCAGCTGCACCAGTACGTACGGACGGACGGGCAAGTTGCATGCTGGTTGGTTCAAAGCGTCGTCGGCTCATGCTTTCGTTTGCATCCTGCGTCTTTACCTGTGTCCCGCTGACCGCTGACCGCGCCGGAAGTGCACCCAGCAGCACCCAGTACTCCTGGCTGCAATTCGCAGCAAACCGGGCCCGGCCCGGCCACGCAGGGAATAACAAGGGATTAACAAGGGTTGCCAGTCGCACTAAACCGCTGGACGATCGAACCAACCGGACCGCCGCAGCGCGCACTCCTTGAACCAGTGAGGACCTCCCGGCGCCTCCGCTTGCACGCATGCTTGCAGCTCCTGCCCAGGTTTGCTCCTGAGGTTCCTGCTTTTGCGTATAATTGCGTACAAAATCCGCGTGCAGCTTCAGGTGCTCTCAGGTTTCGTCAGGTGCTCTCAGGTCTTCCGTAAGGATGCATCAGGTGCACTGTTCAGGTGCATCAGAGTTGCGCCTGGTACGCCTGGGAGCATCAACTCAGCCAGCTGCAGCCGAAGTCTCAGAACAGCCCGACGCCAACCGGTAAACCGTACACGAGTAACATTGAAAGAGGTGGCAGCGAGAGAACACGCCAAACACAACACCTCATGCCTGCCGGATATCTCGCAATATTTGGCCAGTTACAACGTCGTCTGAAAAGCGGCCGAAGTAGCTGCGGCGGCAGAGGCGGCGGCAGTTCGAGGCGTCGGCACTCCTTCAGTCCTTCAGTCGACGCCGCGCCGCAACGCCGGGCGGCACGGCGTTGCACGGCGTGCACGGCGTCAGGCAAACATCAGGCAAACATCAACCGGCGCCAGGGTTCGCCTCAGTGTCCAGATCCGGGCCCATCACTCCCTCGAATGATGGGACAACTTGTTCATTTCCGCGGCCCATTAAACTATGAGGAGTTTGCTGAGCTGAGTGCCGAGAGACAGGCCACAGGATTGTGTTTGTGGCGCTGGCGTCGGGCGCTCAGCGGCGCCGCAGCTCCTGTCTTTACAGACGGCCTCGTTATTCCGGGGTCCAAACATTCTGTGCCCGACTGGGCGTTGCCGGTGGCCGGTGGCATCCCACTGTCGACAGTCCATGTCGGGCACCCTCCAGACGTTGAGACAGGTGGGCAATCTGCTATCTTGCTATCTGCTGCAAGGTCGGTAGTCGGCTTGGCAACGCCCGAAAGCGTCATATGGGCCGTGAAGCGAAGAAGGGAGAGCGAGGAACGGCGAGGCATGCATGTGTGCAAGATGCTTGCGTGACACCCTCACATCCCCCGGCCCGTCGTCTTGGGAGTTGGTAAGCTTGATTGGGGACAGAGTTACCAGAAAACGGACACCCGTCTCAAACAGGCCCGCCAGAGTCTTGGCTGGGCAAAGCTGGGCAACCAGGCATAAATAGCCAGTACATAGGCAGACCAGCTAGCTAAGCGTGCCTCGTTTATGACCTGAGGAGAGAAACGCCTTTCCGCACTGAATACTGCCAAGCCCAAAGACTACTGCCTGCCGAAAGCCGGCGCGCTGCCCGGCTTGCTGTAGGCTTGCCTCAGCTCCTCAGATCCTCAGGTCACAATTGCAACAACTTACGGCCCAGCACGATATCCAGCACGTCGGTACGTCCGCTCGTTGCGGATCCTTGCGGAGGTGCGGCCAGCGGTCATGAAATGACTGAATGGCGCGCCTGCCGCATGCCGCAAACGCCAAACGCGCCCAAACACGCCCATACGCGGCCCGACGTGCTACTATACCCACACAGCCGTAGCCGCAGACGCGAGACAGAAGGGCCTCTGTTCGAGGTTTTGGCCCAGCCAGGCACTATTCTATGGCCGGGCATGCTCATGCCAGCCATGCCTGCTGTTAAACTCAGTTTGCCATGCCTGTTGCAGTGACCAAGTAAGGCATGTGTTGTATGTGCTGACGCCGAGGTGCGACTGTCGTCGTGCTCGGAGGTACGCTGCGTCCCTCAAGGTTGCCTTTCCACGACTTGGAGATAGTCTCTATCCTCTGCGCTCGTTGCAGCAACGAGGTTAGCTCTCGAGGTCGAAACATGGGCTCCACCCTTCCCCCTGGCGTCCCTGCTGACCCTTGACCCAGTCCCTACCCCGATTGCTGTTTTCGGCAACTCGACTTTTTTTTTTCTTGCAGTCGACCCTGTCCCAGCCCGATTTTACGGCGGGGGACTCGATAAATTTTTAGATCGTTTGTTTTGATGCACCTGCTTCCGCTTTAATTTACTCGTGTCAAAAGAGTGGGAAAACGCCACGCTTTCATTCTTTCACGTGATCGCAGGCCAAAGCCGCCGGCCTCCACCTTGCACTCACAGAAGACCTGAGTGGCCACCGTACCAAGGCCAAGCGCGTGGTCGTCATTCGCTGGGCGGTGACGCACCCAGGAACCTTGGAACCAGGCTGAGCTCACCTCGCATGACTTGACCTCTGAAAGCTTCTCCACACTCACTCGACCGTTGTCCACTCGACTGTCCGACCCCCCTTCTCACATCTCAAAATCTGCCCAGAGACTGAAAGCACGTTCTGGCCTGTTGTCTGTCTTGTTCTGCGCAGATCCGACCCTTCTCCCACCCTCTTTGAGCTTCCTGCAAGAACAGCCGTCGACAACCCGTCCGGCAACCCCCGACCTCACAGTTCCGTCGACGCAGACTAGAAGCACCTTCAGCGCTTTCGGTGTCTGTCTAACCTGCCTGCCTGCCTGGATACTCGGTTGCACACCCTCTTAACGAATGCCTTTGACGGCAGAGGTGTGCACTCTGGCAGACAGTCAGACGACAACACCCGTACAACGTGAGTTTACTCAGCAACAACACTCCGAACAGAACGCCGAGTCCGATCGCTTTCCCAGTCCGCATTCCGGAGCTGTCCAACCTCGTCTGTTGTTGTTCCTCAATCGGCTTGATGCGCTTGGCTTTGTCTGTGTGCAGCCCTGTCGTCTCGTGCCCCGAGCACGAGCTCCTGCGGCATCAGGCATTGCCTTGTTATTGGCACTGCCCGATCGTCGATCGACCCCTCCTCCCCTTTATATACCTTTGTCAGCACACGTCGTACTTACACTTTATGCAGCTCTGCCGCGCTCCTACAAACCAACCACTCGGCCATTCTACGGCCACGCCTCGACTGTCGAGTCTGGCTTCCAGGACGACGATCTCGACGAGGACGACGAGCTAGACTACGAGGAAGAAGAGTACATTGAGATCGTCGACGACACAGACTTTGAGTTTGGTGAGTAGCCTTTGGCACAAGCAGACAGAGCGACAGCGGAGGAACGACCGGCGTACACCGGCACGGGTGGCGCTGCTTTAAGCTACCGATCATGAGATAACCCAGATCGAGACCAGCTTAACTTAGCGCGCCCTTGATGCCCATCGGCCATGCGCCGCTTCGTCATCTCGTCACGAGGCCACCACCATGACGACGCGGATGTGTCTTGGTGTCTTGATGTCTCCTTAAGAACGCAACACTGTTCCACCTCCCCTCCCCACCGCTGCTCACTCCCCCGCGCCTGCGACCATGCCTCGTACCCGCCGCAAGGATGCTGACGCCCTCGCGTTCAAACGAATCGCGCACTTACTGCTCTCTGCCGTCCAATCCAAATCCCGATCCTCGACCTCTGCAGACGACGAGCCGTACTACGAGGACCCAGGAATCATGTGGTCGTCGAACCCCGACAATGCTCTCGCCGGGCCGTACACGACGCCAAGCGGCAAGACTGTGCAAAGCGACGTGAGTCCTTCCCACACATGTCTGTGCGGGGGAATGATGTTCGGAGAACACACACTGACATGCCCCCCTTCTTCTCACATGTGACGTCGATGTCAACACTATCCCCTCCCTCTCACCACGTCAACGTTGGACACTTGCTCTCACCATGATACTCTCTCGCCGCCGCAAACCGCCCGGTCGCTCCCCGCGCGTCCCCCTCGCCATGTTCGACGTTGCCTCGGCGCTGATCCCCGTCGCCACAACCCTTCCCCATGCGCCGGTATACGTTGCCTCGGATGTGCCCCCGGACCAGCCCAACGATGAGCGCCTGTCGAATCTCGGCATCCCCCTCGCCCTCCCGTACAAGGTCGAGACGCTCGCGGAGATGGACGCCCGGTTGGAGCTCATCGTCTGCCGCTTGACGGAGTGCGTCAAGGCGAAGGACTGGATCGTCGGATTCAGGTGGTGGGCCCAGGAGCTCGCAGTGTGAGTTTGGCGGATGTTCGCTGGCTGACGTGTTAGGTGGCAGAGCATGGGCTACCCCATGAAGCGCGATCTCAAGATCCGCCTCATCTTCTTGTACTACGAGATCCTGTGTAAGTTGCACTTCCGCGCTCTGTGGCCGTAACTAATGGCAGTCGTCCCCGGTCTGCGCTCTGGATTTGTGGAGGGACGAGCAAACGAACTCATCAACTGGCTTAAGTGAGCTCGCCGAATTTCGCTCTGAGCTAACCAGCAGCGACCGCAGTTTGACCGTGAACGACCTCCGAATCCCGTGGCGACCGCTATACGATGCGCTGTACAACGAGCTGTTCCCGCACCCGAACAAGCTCGCCCGCCACTCCGTCAACCTGGCGCCCGTCTACCTCAATGTTGCCGAAGCTGCGCAGCGATTGTTCCACCCCGCCGATGCCGAGGAGATGATGGAGACGATTCTCCCGCAGTTTGCTCCGCACATGGACTCGATCCTCGCGACGCAGCTGTTCCTCGTGCACTTTCTCCCGACTGCTTCGTGCGACAAGTGGCTGCCAGTCCTCTTCCGTCTGTGGTACGGTCTGAACAGTGGACTGTGGGACGACCAGGCGTCGGACATCATCGGCCAACTGGCCATGGTCCACATCGAGACGCACCGGTCCGACCCTGTCCTGAATGCCCGCATTCCCCGTGGCAGGACGAACACGCCAGAGGAGCAGGCGCGCAACCCCAGTCTGAAGAAGGCGGAGCGGAACCACCGTGCTCGTATTCTCGACGCTCAGAATGACGTCGTCGACGATGCGGACGGCCTGACCTACTGGGTTGACCCGGAAAAACTGCCGGTAGAGGAGGAGGAAGGAGACCCGAACTACGCGCGCCTGCGCCGAGACGTCGGAATCTTCACGGACGAGCAGTTCGCCTTCATCATGTCCAAGTGCTTGAGGTCTCTGAACGTGCCAGTCGGCGGGTCCATGGCGTCCCAGAACAGCATGTCGATCACGCAGGCGGACACCCGTGTTTCCAAGAAGAACCTGGACGCAAAGAAGCCCATTGACCGCACACAGAGTCTGGCCGAGGTCATCATCTACAGCATGTCCGAGGATGCGCCTGTAGCTCCGTTCGGCACGACTGGTGCGCCCACTCGTGCTGCCACCCCGGCATTCACGCCGCACCATCCCAGCAGCGTTGATCCGATCACCCGCGTGCGCAACGGCGACGTGGCCATGTCTCGAACAGACAGCACGGATTCACTCAAGGCTGCGGGTGAGAGCATCGAGCGCAGCAAGAAGTATCTTGCCGGCTCCAAGGCTCTGGATCACCTGTCACGCCTGATCACCAGCTGCGAGACCTTCTTCCACCCGTCAAACGCCGGTCCCTGGTCGTCCTTCCTGACCGTCTTCCTGTCGCATCTCACGAGCAACTTTGTGCAGCGCTGGAAGATGGAGGAGGAACCAAACTGCAAGGTGCCCGTCGAGTGGCGTCTCACCCCCGAGATCAAGCGGTCCTTCGTCCTGACGCTGCGTCCCGTCGCGCTGACGGCCATGTTCAACAAGGACATGGAGTCTGCCCAGCCTGCCATCTCCACGCTGAAGAGGCTCGCGCTGCTCGAGCCTGACCTGATCATGCCCGCTATAATGGAGCGTGCGATCCCTTCGCTGCAGGGTCTCGAGGAGACGCAGCGGACAGCGTCGGTCACCTTTGCACTTGCCGCAGTCGCCCAGCCCCTTGCAGGTCGTTCCGTCTGGCGCTTCGGAGGCATATATGTCGCAGACATTCTCAACTTGCTTCTCCCTGGCATCGACCTGAACGACCCTACCAAGACCGGTCTCTCTTGCATGGCGATCTGTAACATGGTCGACCAGATCCGAATTGCCGACATCTCCGACAACGAAGCGACCCCCAACGGTGATGCGGGCCGCACTGTCCGCCGCGTCGTTCGCGCTAAGGTCGACGACGACCCGAACGACCCCGTCGGGCAGGAGTTTGAAGAGATGACCGAGGACGAGATCGAGAGCCGTCTCCGCATCTCGACTGGTGCCTTCCAGGACTGGGTGCACGAGTTCCTCGGACGTGTACTCCTGCTCTTCGCCAACCTCCCCGAGGAGGGCGGCAAGACTGGCCGTGCGGGTGGCAGGACCGAGATCCTGACGCTGCAGAGCGTCCTCCACACCTGCGGTGCCATTTTTGGAGCGCTCGACGACAAGCTGTTCGATGCAGCGCTCGACCAGGTCGCCGAGTATGCCACCACCACGACCAAGAGCAACGCCGTCGACGCCGTCGGAGAGCTTGTGAAGAACCTGACCGCTGTCAACGCGACCAAGACGTTTGAAAAGTTCTTCCCCATCTGCAAGCAGCGTATCACGTCAGAGCTGCGTGCTGGTGCCTCGTCGACCAGAACGACGACGACTTCGATCCCCCGCCCGTCGGATGCGCCGCTGCACTGGTGGATGTCGATCCTCTACGGTCTCCTCGTTCCTGGCCGCTTGAACCTCCCCACGCACCGCAAGGAGTACATGGAGCTGCTCCGCACCATGCTGCAGCATACCTACTCTGAGCGTGGATGGGCTTGGGCGGGCAACATTGTCGAGAAGACGCTGAGCTGCCTGACTGCGCTCTACCTCCAGGAGATGAAGTTCCTGAACCCGACCGAGTACGCGAGCGAGGACTTCAAGCAGCACCACACCATGTGGTGGGGCAAGCTCTACCGAGCGACCGAGGCCAAGCCTCAGTGGAGGCAGCCCACCGACGAGGACGTGGACATGGCTTTGGAGGTTGTCGGCCTTGCCGAGGAGGCTGTCTCGACGATCGAGGGTCTCCTGGAGAAGACGGAGCGCGACTTTGTCTGGAAGAACGACTTCTGCCGCGCGATGAACGTCGTTGACGAGGTGATGCTCGGCTCCTACTCCCTCATCGGCGAGTTTGACCAGCACAAGACTGGCGGCCACTACGCCAAGGTTTACACCCCCGGACTGCTCGAGTCGCACATCCACTACAAGGCCGGCTTCCTCTTGACCGACCCGAAGGACCCGCGCTACCAGCGCGTCATGCACTTCCGCGAGCGTGCGGCCCAGATGCTCCACAAGGCGTCCGTCATGATGCGCACTGCTGGTGATGACAACTCGGTCGACAGTGTCAAGCTGCTCGTCGCCACTATTGGCTCGTACCTCTTCTCGTATGGCATGCGCCACAAGAAGTTCCAGAGCGCAACCAGCGCGTACGAGAATCTCCAGGCGAGCAAGCGTCTCTACGAGGGACAGCGCAAGGCGCACCGTTCCGTCCACCTCGGAGCGATCCAGGTGCACCACAGCAACCGCCTCATGTACGCGAGCTACAGCCGTCCCCGTTCCGCTCAGGATGACGAGCTGATCAGGGACCTTCTCGAGTTCGGTCTGTCGCCCTTCCTCCGCGTCCGCCGACGAGCCCAGTCCCTTCTGTCCTCGGTCAACTCGACGTATCTCGAGTCCACCGTGCTCTTCCCGGACGTGCTCCTCGACGCTCTGAAGCCCGGTACCGACCCTGACCGCATGAAGGGAGCCCTCTACATCGTCAGGAGCTGCATGCTTCACTACACGCGCTTGGTGCGAGACTGGGAGGGCATGTCAAAGGTTGTGGAGGCCCTTCTCGGGGCCCATCACGAGACCAAGACGTCCATCCAAACCCTGGTTAACAAGACGCTCGACGACCTGACCCGCCTCGCCCACGAGTGCCAGTCCTTCCGCATGATCTACCGCGTGGAGGGTGCCGAGAAGGCGGCTGACGAGGTCGCCAAGGAGCTGACCCTTTTCAAGCCGGACGAGGAGTTCGTTGCGCGCATTGAAAAGGGCGACGAGGAGCGTCTCGCGGCCCGCGACAAGGAGTACGAGGCTACCGTCGACCTCATCTTGAGCAAGACCCAGGACCCGACTCTCAGCTGGCGCTACCAGCTCGCGGCCGCCCGTCTGCTGTACGTCATCGTTCGCCGTGACCGTCCCACCGACCCGCGCCTGATCGAGTACTTCCTGTCTATCTGCCAGAGTACCCACCCGCGTCTCCGCGACTATGGCCAGTGCGGTTTGACCCGCCTGATGTTCGACGCTATGCAGCGTTCGTACACCAAGGGCTCACCTGAGAGGCTCTTCCTTCAGGAGCCCTTCGATCCTCTGGTCCGTAAGATCGACATCAGCAAGGAAGGACCGGACTTTACGGAGCGCTACCTCAAGATGTTCCGCGAGGAGCCTTCCGACGAGTCCATGCTACAGGATCGCGTCGACACTGGATGGCTCGTCTGGGGCAAGGAAATGGAGGTCGCCCGCTTCGCCAAGTGGGACGAGCAGATCTTCGAGCTCGAAGAGGGCTGCAAGTCCGCGATGCAGCTGCTCTTTGATGCCTGCGCCAGTGACGAGTGGTGGCAGAAGCTCTCTGGCCACTTCTCACAGGAAGAGTCGCGCAACTACCCCTCGGCGTCGCACATTGACCTCATCCTCGCTCTCTGCCAGATTATCGGAGTCCCCATTCTCGACAAGATCAAGCCAGTCGTTCAGAAGCTCATGGCTGACATTGAGGAGAAGGGCGTGTACGACCGTCACCAGACTCGCGCTCTTATGGAGTTTATTGCTGGTCTCTTACGCGGCCACGTCGAGTGGCCCGGTAAGGACCGTCAGGCATTCTGGGACTGGTTCACGCCTCTTCTTCCCGATATTTTCCGCAACATTCGTCAGGACGCTCTGCGCTGCTGGGAGATCACGATGGACTACGTCCTTCACCAGCAGGACCCGCGCCGCCACAAGCCCCTCGTTGACTTCATGCTCACCACGGCCCTCAACACGGACTGGGAGGGTGGGTCTGCGTACGACCTCACGCGCCGCGTGCAGCTCTCGCGTATTCTTGTGCGCTGCCTCAAGTGGCGCTTCACGGACTGGGCACCGGAATTCGAGAAGCTCTACTTCAGCGTGTTCAACTGCACGTACGCCGACGTCCGCACCCATCTCGGCAGCATCATGAACGGCCTCGACCAGCTGCACTGGAACGCCTCGTACCCCAACGTGCCGGCGCTCATTGAGGCGGTCCGCAACGACCCCAAGTGCGAGACCGACATCATGGGTATCCTGCCGCCGCGCCAGCTCCAGGCGCAGGTTGACGAGACAATGGCCAAGATTGAAAAGTTCCGCGCGGACCGCCCCAGCGGCCCGAAGGCGGCCATGAGTGACCACGACACTACGGCGACGACCCTCATCCACTGGCTCGCGACCGAGCTCGTTGACGTGCACGCCGTCGGAACGATGCCGTACATCGTCCCCATCCTGCCCAAGATCTTCGAGTTCCGCGAGATGAACGACAACACGTCGATGCAGCAGAACGCCGGCCGCCTCCTCGCCATGATCACGTCGATCACGCCCGCGTTCCAGCTCGTCGAGCCGCTCATGGAGCAGCTCATCTCGATCTTGCACAACTCTGAGGTAAGCTGACTATCTTCCTTGTAGCTAACGACAGTCGTGGCGCACGAAGATCCACTGTATGCCGGTGCTGAGTCTGACGTACTTCCGCAACATGTCGCTCCTGTCCGAGCCGCTGAAGGCGAAGTGCCTCGATGTCATCTCGGCATGCCTGAAGGACGAGAACCAGGAGGTCCGCGAGATGGCGTCGGTCACACTTAGCGGCTTCCTGCGCTGCTCGCAGCGCTCCATGGTGCTCGTGCTCAAGGACCGCTTCGTCCGCGACATGCAGCGCATCAAGCTCCCGCGCCGCACGCTGTCGCCGGGCGTCATCAACCCGAAGTACCAGTCGACGCTCGTCGAGCTGCACGCCGCCGTTCTCGGAGCCGTTGCTATGTGAGTTTGAATGACTGGTCGCAACTGACAATCAGCGTCGAGGCGTTCCCCTACACCGTCCCGAAGTTCATCCCCTCGCTGCTGGCGGACACGCTCGCGCCGCGTGTCAGCGAGCCGATGCCGATCAGCGCGTCTATCCGCTCGTGTATCGCGTCTTTCAAGCGCACGCACGAGAAGTACCAGGAGCGCATGACCGAGGACCAGATTGCAAGCATGAACTATGCCCAGGCTGGCAACAGCTATTGTAAGCTGAGATGATTTGGACATTTAAGCTGACGATCAGACGCATAAGCCACCCACTTCTCCTCCATCACCTCATAATCTACATTTCTCACAGCCATCAAAGTCAAGTCCAGCAAGTCACTTCATCGTCATCGTCACGACGTCTGTTTGAACATCCATGCAGTGTGCAAGATCCAGTAGAAGCAGAATCAGAATGTATACAGTTAAGAATTCGCTTCCCGGTTGCGTCAGACAACATGTGTATAACAGTGGTGGTGCCTCATATCCGTCGTGATCGGCGGCGACGGAAGCAAATTGTTCAGCGGCGGCGGAGACCGTGCTCCTTGACAAGATCTCGAGCGACGGTCATGTCCTCTTTCCTTCCAAAAACAACCCAAAAGTCGAACATGTCGACCCTCACTATCCCCTACGTCGCGCAGCCCGACATGGCCCTCCCGGCTCTCGCCCTCCTGCAGGGTGCCGAGGTCGTCTGGGACGTCATCTCGGGCGACGCCGGCCAGCCCGACCTCGACGGTGTCAAGGGTGCCGACGCTGTCCGCGCCAAGCTGAACGAGAAGACCCCCGCCGGTCCCTCGCTTCCCCAGCTCCCTAGCGAGTTCACCCCCAAGACTCCCTTCCCCGAGATCGCTGCTATCCTCGACGCTCTCGACGACTACCTCGCCTACAGGTGAACTGCTTTGCTGTTAACGTTAGCTGACGTCAGGACCTACTTCTCTGGCTCGCAGTTCGGCCACAACGATGCCCTTCTCTGGGGTACCATCCGTTCGATCTCGGCCGCTGCCGGTACCATGCGCAAGCCTGGTCGTCCCCACCTCCTCCGCTGGTACAACCAGGTCGAGTCGCTTCCTATCCTGAAGAAGCTGCTCGAGTCGTTCACCAAGGCCCGCTCGGACGCCGACAAGGCCAGGAAGAACAAGCGCACCGAGCACATTGAGGCCGAGCTCCCCAACGCTGTCCCCGGCAAGGTTGTTGTTCGATTCGCCCCCGAGCCCTCGGGATACCTGCACATCGGTCACCTCAAGGCGGCCATCCTGAACCGCTTCTTCGCCGACAAGTACAACGGCAAGTACATTCTCCGTTTCGACGACACCAACCCGACCAAGGAGGAGGGCGAGTTCGAGGACGCCATCAAGGAGGACCTGGCCATGATCGAGGTCTCGTTCGACAAGGTCGTCCACACCTCGGACCACTTTGACAAGATCCGCGAGTACACCGAGAAGCTCATCCAGCAGGGTGACGCCTTCATGGACGACACGGACGCCGAGCTCGTCAAGGAGCAGCGCCGTGCCCTCGTCCCCTCCAAGAACCGCGACGCCTCGATCGAGGACAACCTCAAGCGCTTCCACGAGATGTGCGAGGGCACCCCCGAGGGCCAGAAGTGGTCGCTCCGTGCCAAGATTGACTACACCCACAAGAACGGCACCATGCGCGACCCCGTCATCTACCGTTACGTCGGCGGCAGCCACCACATCACCGGCGACAAGTACAAGGCGTACCCCATGTACGACCTCGCGTGCCCGCTCATTGACCACATTGACGGCGTCACCCACGCCCTCCGTGCCAATGAGTACGCGGCCCGCCACGAGCAGTACGCCTGGTTCCTCCAGAAGCTCGGCCTGCCCAACATTGAGATCTTTGACTTCTCGCGTATCGACTTTGTGTACACTGTTCTGTCGAAGCGCAAGCTCAAGTACCTCGTTGACCAGGGTGTTGTTTCCGGCTGGGGCGACCCCCGTTTCCCCACTGTCCGTGGCATCCGCTCGCGCGGTATGACCGTCAAGGGTCTCAAGGACTACATTGTCGGCCAGGGTGCGTCGCAGCAGATGCTCCAGCTCGAGTGGGACGGTATCTGGAACGTCAACAAGCGTGTCATCGACCCCATTGCTCCCCGCTACTGGGCCATTGCCGAGGAGAAGATGGTCCCTGTCGAGGTCATTGGCGGCCCCGCCAAGGAGGAGGTCGTCAAGAAGCCCCTGCACAAGAAGGACCCCAAGATCGGCGAGAAGGACCTCGTCCTCTCGAGCCACCTGATCATGGAGCAGGCCGATGCCAAGTCGTTTGGCGACAACGAGGAGATCACGGCCATGGACTGGGGCAACGTCATCGTCACTGAGAAGAAGGTCGACGCCGCCGGCGACGTCGAGTCGCTCAAGGTCAAGCTCCACCTCGAGGGCGACTTCAAAAAGACGTCCAAGAAGGTCACCTGGCTCTCGGCCCCGACCAAGGAGCACCCGCTCACCCCCGTCGTGCTGATCGAGTACGACTACCTGATCACGAAGAAGAAGCTCGAGGAGGACGACAACCTCACCGACGTCATCAACCCCAAGACCGAGTACCGCGTCAACGCGCTCGCGTCGGCCGAGGTCGCGCAGCTCAAGAAGTGGGACATTATCCAGTTCGAGCGCAAGGGCTTCTACATCTACCAGGGCGAGAAGGACGCAGAGGGCCGCATGCAGTTCGGCTACATCCCCGACGGACGTGCCGAGTCCATCGCCCTCAAGGCCAAGCCGGCCGCCGTCAGCGCCGCCCCCAAGGACAAGTCCGCCCCCAAGGGATCCTGGGGCAAGCCCGGCGCCAAGAAGGCCGCCCCCGCCCCCGCTGCCGCTGCTGCTGCCGACGGCACCAAGACGGTCCTCTCGGACGCTACGGAGGGGTTTGAGATCCCCATCAAGACCAAGATGTTCGAGTCGGACCGCATCTACGGAAACGACGGCGTCCACCCCGAGCCCAAGGTCAACATGTTCAAGAGCACCCCGGTCTACGAGCAGTAAGCGGCGCGTGGCGGGAGCATTAGCGGCGCAGCAGAGCGACGCGGAGCGCAGTGCAGCGCAGAGTACTCTCCTCTCGCGCAGCTCGGACACGGCGGCCACAGTGCACCCCGATGCACCGCAACCAGTTGCAATCTAGATCACGATGCATCTGTTGACAGTCATTGTTTGCACGAATGCCCCGAGAGGAGCTAAAGAGGTCCGAGCGACGAACATTGACGATCAGGCAAGCGCCCATCATGCCAGCCATGGCCAGCCATCTGAAGCAGGCGTGTGACATTGTATGGCAAACGTCCGAGCGCAAGACGCGCAAATCTTCTGTTAGCATGAAATCTCCGCAGCCATGTGCCTTCCTTCTAATCGATCTGGAACTGAGCAGTGGCTACCTTGTCGGCTCCATTTGCAATTCTGGCATGTGGAGCTGAAGAAAAGGGCAGGAGTAGAGGCAGAGGTCGAGTTAGATGATAACGACACCGGCAGAGGGGGCGAGGAATGCTGACAGGGCAGGGCCGATTTGCTGATCATGACAACATGAGGGACGCCATGAGGGAACATGGCGACGCGCGACGCGCGACGCGCTGACCCAACACGGCCCAAGCGCAATGTCACCGGGAGCACAACATTCGCTCTCCTAGCCTCCTGGCCTCCTCGCCTTCCTCCCCTCCCAGCTTCTCCCGAGCGCAGCGTGTTCGCATTATCATTATCCTCACATTGATCACAGACAAGCAGACAATCGCACCTCGGTGATTGTGAGTGGAACCACAGAGCTGATCACAGAAGCCGTCGATCGCCACATCAGCACCGCAGCCGCCCCGTGCCCCGAGTGATCAGCAGTGAACGTGAGGGACGATACACCTGTCCTCTCAGCCAGCTCAGCCCTCGTGCGCCCAGGCGCGTACCCTCATTTCCTCCTCTATTGTTCTCGCAAGCACTGTACTCATCTTGTTGTCCTCCGATTCCCACTGTTCACACTGTTCACACTGTCTGACAATCTCGGCCTCCTCATCTTCGCGCTGTCCCGCTCGCTCGCTCGTGTACATTACTCGCACCCCGGCCAGACCGGCTCGCTTATACTTGGCTTCCTCACGCACGCTCCGTCACGCATCCACTGACCTCTCGACACACTCGACACACTCGCGACGCTCGCCGACATGGCCGGACTCATGAAGAACATCTTCCGCTTCTCGCGCAAGGACCCGGAGCCTGGTAAGTAAGCCCCGACCACGCCGAACGTGCGCGGCATTGCAGACTCGACGTTTTGCGGAATGGAAGTTTGTGGCGACGTCTTAATTCCTCGTCGTGTCCTCGCTTCTGGCTCCTCGAGCATCAGCTGATTTACCAAGCATACATCGAACCGTCGCCGCCGCCAGAGGACGCGACGTTCAGTTCCCACCACGAGTATCCCGAGTACTCGGAGGAGTTCACGCCGTACCCCTTCTTCCCTACGCCTGGCGACAAGGAGCTGAACGCAGCAGGAGCAGGATTTGGTGTAGACGCTGGACCGCACTCGGGACAGCGGGGCGTGCCACTCGACGTTCCTCAACCACCAGTTCAACCAGTTCAACAGCAGCAGCAACGTCAAGCCGGCTTCGAATCGTACCCATACTCGCAGTACCCTCTGTCACCGCCGGGTGACCCTCAAAATTACCCTCAGGCGCAAGAGCAGTTTGCCCAGAACGTTTTCCCCCCGAGTGGCCTGCAAAACGGTCACGCTCAACCGACCGGCCGTGACTTCAGTCCCGACAAGTTCGCAAAGACGACACTGAAGAGCGCCTCCGGTATCGCGATCGACTTCATCCCCGAGGAATCCGAGCCGGACTCGGACACGAATCCGACCCGCCGCCGCGGCTACGAGCTCGGTACGCGGCCGCCGCCTGTTCCGCCCAAATCTCCGCTCGCGCAGGCAGTGCCGGCAGTCCCAGCCGTGCCGAAGCCGCCATTGTCGCAGATCACGCAGGCTTCGGAGAACTCTGCGGCGCTGATCGAACGACACCGCGACGCTATCCAGAAAGTGGCCGCGAGGAAGGGTGAGCTGGGCTTTCGGCAAAGCTGACATCAGTCGAGCCGTGGATTGATAGCCACGAGCCGTTCGTGACTGAAGACAGTGAGTTGAGCTGGTTCGAAAGAAACTGACGAAGCAGAAGCCGCCACGCCACCCAAAACCCAACACGCGAAGCCTACGAAACACCAGCAGAGCATGTCGTTCTCGGCGCTTGCGACGGGGCAGCAACCTCAAGCCCCCAGCAGCGGGGGAAAGGACAGTGTACTGAGCCGCGGCGCACACAATCGACACAGCAGCTGGGGCGGCTCCGCCCGCTCCGGCGGCGTATTCAGTGAGGACGAGCCGCTCCCCGAGCCGCAACCGGTGCGTCATCCAGCTGCGCCGGTTACCGTAGCTAACGAGCAGTTGACAGTAGAGAACCTGAGTCTGTTCAGCCAGCAGAGCCCGAAGCCGCTCGCGTTCTTGCCGCCGAATAAGCGGCCGAAGGCGAAAGGCAAGGCCAAGGACAAGACGGGCAAGAAGGACAAGGAGAAGGGCAAGGGAAAAGGCAATGAGAAAGAGAAGGCAAAGGAGGGTAAGAGCGACAAGCCCGTCATGTTGGACAAAGTGGACAAGGGTAAAGGCAAAGCGACCAACGAGGAGCTCGACGCCCTCTTCGACAACAGCAAGTTTGACCTACTCCAGGCGCTCGAGAACGTAGACCGGTTCCGCGCCGAAGGCCCCGGGGCCGATAACATCGCGCACATGCGCACGCTCGCCATGTTGAGTGCGGCCACGGGTGGGGCGCTGAACAACTTCAACGTCCCCGAGCAGAAAGACGCAAACACGAGCGGCGAGAACAGCGGTGACGCTGGTGAAGCCGGTGGCGACGCTGACACCCTGGGCGAGACGGGCGACAAGCGCAGGATGCACAACTCATTCCACACGACCACCACCGAGAGCTTCGGGCACATCTATCACCGCGACGGCCGGCCAGTCCCGCCGCCCAACGCCGGGCCCTCGGGGCGCTTCTCGCACCATCGCCATCACTCCTCGGGCGGCGCGCTGGCTGATATCAGCGAAGCTACCGAGAGTCGCGATGCGAAGCACCAGGTCACGACCGTCGAGGACGTCCCGGACGTAAGCTCGCTAACGCCGTCTAAAGCTAACCCCAGGTCGACCTGCCCTCAGCGCAGGTGCCACTCGGCGCTCGGGCTCCAGGCGCATCGGTCAGCGCCGCTCCACCAGCAGCTCCAGCGCTGCCGGTGGTCACCGCACCAGTGCGCCCAGCCACCCCCGAGGTGCCAGAGCCCGAGATACCCGATCTCGAGCGCGAGATTCTGCAAGCCGGTGCACCCCCGCCATCGACGACGCCCGAGTCCGAGGCCAGCTCCTCATTCACGAAGCTGCAGGGATTGCTGGACCGCTCCTCGTTCCACGACGAGGTGCTGTGCCAGCTGCTCGACGCGATCCACAACCGCCTCATTGGCGAGGAGGCGCAGAAGGCACTCATCCGGGCTGCCAAGGCTCGCGTGATCGAGCTCAAGGACATGAAGGCGCGTGGAGAGGTGAGTCAAGTGGAATCTGTTACGATGAGCAGAGCGCCCTAACAAACCGCAGGAGATACTGCTTAGTCCGCCGCGGGGCAGTACAAGACCGCTGAAGATTAACAAGAGGTCAAAGCCGGCCAAGAAGGAGGAAGCTGAGAAGGACACGACGGAGAAGGAGAAGAATAGCCTCGAGCCTCCAGCCATGACTCGCGAGCCGTCCCAGGACCTCCCCTCCGTGTTGCACACGCCGACGGATGAACTTGCGAGCTCTGGCCCGGCCAGCTCTAGTCGCTCAGCGACCGACGGATACATGCCCCGAACGGAGACTGATATGGTGAGCTTCTCCGCATGCGACGAGCTCTGACAAGCAGGCAACCCCGCAGATGCAAGACTGGACCAAGAAGGTGAGCTGGAGTGCGCCACCCCCGAAAGCTGACCACAGATCCAGAACGGTCTGAAATCCTGGGCCTTCAAGCCAGCCAGGAAGAAGACAGCCGCCACCACAGACTCAACCGGTCTTCCCTCCCTGCATGGCACGCCGTTCACGACCGGCCCGAACCCGACACCGATGCACCGTGACCCGACTCCCCCGGGTTCTTACGACGCGCATCTTCAGAATACGTACACGGCGCCGCGCAAATCGAACCCGTCGCCATGGACTGGGGGCTCATACGGCGCAACAGGTGTGCCATCCCATGGCCCTTCGACGTCGTTCGGCGGCCATCCCGGTCAGGACTTTGGCGGTCCGCTGCCACAGCAGAACTTCAACTCGTTCGGCCGCGGTCACACGCCGGCAGCGTCTTGGAGTGGTCCCGATGGGGCATACACCACTCCAGCATTCACTCAACCGCCTCGCGACGCGCGGGATACGGACCAAACCTACACGAGCCCCGAGATGGCTCGCGCTGGTCCCAGTTTCGGTGGCCTGCCTGGGCCTTTCGCTGGCATGAACCCCATTCCCCTCGCCGGTCCAAGTGCGGGGTTCGACGCGCCGTACCGGGTGGAACGTTTCTCGATGCCCGTGTCTGACGAGGAGCTGCGCACGACCGCGGATATCATCAACGGCACGCGTACATTTGTCGTCCCCATTGGCAGCCTGAGTGGCCCAGGCGCCTTTGACTTCCTCGACGGGCCGTTCCCACTCGGCTTCGCTTTGCCTCACCCGCATCCAGAGCAGGACCCCTGGGACAAGTCGGCGAGCATCCACACGCTGTACTCGGAACTGCCGAAGGAGTCCACCCCGCCCACAAAGAAGGACGGAGACGCCGGGTCCGACACGAGCCGCGCGCCAACGGTGCCGCCCAAGGACACGCCAAAGATCTCTCAGAAGACGGTGCCGGCCACTCACCCGGACACGCCGAAGACTGCCCCTGTTGAGGAGAAAGCTAATACATCAAAGCCTGCCTCCCCCGGGAAGACGCCGCGCATGGCGGACCTGCACCTACCGTCTGATCCCGGCGCAGCGCCTGCAATCAGACTCCAGGCGCCAACGACAACGGACCCAACGGCCGTGACGGCGAGCAAATCGACCTCGACGCCAGCAACGGACGTAACGGCACACAGCGCTGCGAACTCCTCATTCGAGCGGCCAAAGTGGGACGCAGCCCCGCGCGAGTCCTTCAGGACGGCCCAGACCCAGCCTCAGCTGCCGGCCTATCAGTCTCAGCCGAGCTCGCCGCAAAAGCCCACCGGACAGCCCTTCTTCCCTCCCAATAATCGGTCCGCTCCGTCGTCACCGAAGAAGACCAGCGCGCAGAAGACATCCAACGGTGGGCCCAACGGCACGCCAGTGTCTGAAAAGGCACGGAAAGAGAAGCAAGCGAAGGAGCCGAAGCGCCACTCGGGAGGAGACAATAGGCAGCCTCAGAGCGCCGCACCATCATACTCGACCACGCACACTCTGCGAGGAATCGGGAGCGTCATGTCCCCCGAGACGATGACGACGAACATCTCTCGCGAGCTGAAGCAGCCGGACCATATCACGGAGCGGTTGTATGCGTGGGCGAGGGAGAAGTCCGAGGTCGACTTTGTGGAGACATTGGAGCGGCTCTCGGGCGGTGACGAGGTGAGTGTGACTCCGCACCCTCTTTCCAGCTGCGTAGAACTCTAGGAGCTGATGGCAGATCCGCGAGTTCCCGCTCACAATATTCACACTCCAGACGTGGAAGCGGTAAGCTAGTCTGCTTGTGATGGAGCTGACGATGGCAGCTACGTCAAGGCTAAACTGGAGCGCGGGGCAGAGTGTGACCGCCTCCTCGTCCCTCCAGAGCTGTGTGATACCATCAACCGGGCAGTTCAAGCCGTGAGCTGTCCAATGTGGGGCGTTAGCTGACCAGCGCAGAAGGAATACAACGACGCAGCCAACTACCTCCTGCAAGCGTGGGCGCCGTTTGGGCGGGAGCGCGCGCCGCGTCTCATCATCAGCCTGCACCGGCACGGAGTCCAGTGAGTGGCATCTCCCCTCGCCCCCAGACCTCCAAGCTGGAATTCCCCTAGCCCCATAGCTGACAGCAGGTACGTCGCCCCTGCACGGCGGAGCTATTGTAGTCCCAAGGCGGAGCTAACGCCAGGACGCCTGGTTCGCGAACCGCTACGACCTCCCCGCGCTCAAGATGCTGAGCTACCACGTCTCAGCCTCGAGCGACGAGTCACCCGACCCCCGCCCGCACCTGTGGTGGAACGCGATCGCGCGCGCGTGGCCGGACCTGACTCTGCCTGATGCCGAGTCGGAGACGGGTGCGTTCCGCGTCACGTCCACCAACGTCCTGGAGGGAAAGAGGGAGGACGCGAGTACACGCGCAGCGGTTGTCGCGAGGAACCTGTTACTGTGAGTGAGATGGGGGATGACAGCTGTGGCGGTGAAGTTTGTGAGCTGACAGTCAGGAGCTACGAGCCGACGTATGAGCACGATTTGGGCAAGTTGAGGGAACTCATAGTGACTGAGGTAAGCTACCGTGGCACGACTGTAGCTGACGACAGGTTACGAGACTGCTTGAGCGGAAGCGGAGAGGCAAGCTGCGCGTCAGCGGGCGGCCGAGTAGGACTCCGTAAATCGAACGTGAGGTGAGCTGGACCTCTGTCTCCAACGAGCTTACACCAGACTCTACCCTGCGCTGCTTGTGTCGGAGATGGGCGTTGGCATGATGCATGAGGTGAGCTTGATTAGCGGTGACGCGTAGCTGACCTCAGCGCGCCACAACAAGTCTGAGTTAGTGGACAGTTCGTATTTTCCGGATGTTATGCAGCTCTGTTCGCATCATGATTGTGCATACAGCGTTCCTGCCGGGGCAGGATGGATATAGGAGATGGTGACAATGCAGGAATGGATGGAGGGGGACGAATCTAAGAAACACACAGAAAGCAAGAAGAGAAGAAGAGAAGAATTAGACCTCGGAGTGGCGCTTCTTCTTCTTCTTCTTTTCTCCGTCCTCTGCGCCGTTGGCCTCGGACGCTCTCCTCTTCTTCTTCTCCTCCTTCTTGCGCTTCTTCTCGTCGACGTCCTCCTGCACCTCGCCAGCGGCGGCGACGGCGGCGCCAGCAGCCTCAGCGAGCTTCTTGGCGGCCTTGGCGGCCTTCTTGGCCTCCTTGCGTGCCCGCCTCTCCTCCTTCGTCTCTCCCTCGGGGGCGATGGAGACGTCGCCGTCGGCCATGCTCACGTCGCCGTCAGCAGCGGCGGCGAGGGACTCGCGCTTCTTCTTCTTATCCTTCTTGTCCTCCTTCTCGGCCGGCTGTGTCGGGAGGAGGTTGTCCTCGTTGGCGTTGTAGCCCGAGGACGAGCCCGTGAGCTCAAACTTGGGCTGCTGGCGGGCCGCCCCCGAGGTGGCGGTGCGGTTGGACACGATGCCGGCGCGGTGCTCGAGGGCGCGGAGGCGGGACTCGAGCTTGATGCGCTCGGCGATGCCGAGCTCGCCGGCGCCGAACTCGCTCTTCGTCTCGGCGTCCGAGAGCGCGTCGAGGCGGATCGACAGCGACGCCTTGGTGCTCGTCATGCGCGCCATCTTGCCCTTGAGCTTCTGCGGCGCCTGGCCGACCAGCGACGCGTGGTAGATCAGGCCGTACTTGGGCGTGTCGTGCTTGGTCTTGAGCGCGCGGAAGAGCGCCTTCTCCGCACCCAGGATCTGGACCGTGGACGCAGGGAACTTGGCCAGGTTCATGAGCGAGCCGGCGTGCGAGATCAGGCGCGCACCGACCAGGTCCCCGACGAGCGCCGTCAGGTTCGGCGCGATGGCCTGCATACGGTTGCGCAGGTACTCCGACAGCTGGGTGCGGTACTCGGTGATGCTGATGACCTGGTCGCACAGGTCGTTGATGTGGTTCATGTCCGTGTCCGAGATCTCGGTACCCATCGACAGCTCGGCGGCCTGCTTCAGCGTAGCCTCCAGGTCCTCGGGGAGGACCATCGAGAAGTCGGTCGAGGCAGCGTTCGTGCGGAAGCCCATGGCCTTGACGACGCGCGCGTATGCGAGGTTGTCGACAATGATCTTGCCCATCTCGGGGAAGTGCCAGCCGTACCACTCCTTGACACGCATCGAGTAGATGTTGATCTCCTTGTCGAGGTCGTCGAGGAGCGCAATGGCCTGGATCACCATGGTGTCCACCTTGTCGGTGGAGAACTTGAGCTTGAAGCGCGAGAGCGAGTGGCCGAGACCGAGCGACATCGTGTTCAGGTCCTTCTGCTCAACACCACCGAGGAGCGAAGCGAGCTGCTGGCGGATACCGCGGTACAGGTCCTGGGTCGACGAGTCCGAGACCACGGGGATCTTGAGCGACTTGGTGATCGTCGCCGCGAGCTTGGGCTCCGAGACAACAAGGGTGACATCCTTCTTCTTCTTCTTGCCCTCACCGCCCGTAGCGTCAACGAGGAACTTCTCGAGGCCCTCCGTCAGGCGGCCGTCCTGGATAGCGGCCAGGTCCTCAACAGCGGTCGCAGTGGAGGTGAAGCGCTGGATGGCCTCGACCTTGAGACTGTGGGTGGGTTAGTTGATGTCGGACGATTCTTCAACTCGATACGCACGCCTTGTTGGCCTTCTCGGGGGTCTCGAACTCCTTCCAGAGATCCTTCGAGTCAAGCTTGTAGTCGTTGCCGAGCTTGAAGACGACGAAACCGATCGGGGTTTCAGAGAGGACGAGCATGGTTGCTGTCTTCCGTTTTGGAGGGTCGCGTGAGAGCTGTGAGAGAGGTCGCGGGAGGTTGGGATCAGGGGAGAACCACGGGGTAGCGACGGTCGGGGAAGTCGCTGGTGTCGGTGGTTGTCGAGGAGTCGCCGGTCGGAGAAGTGATGCCCTCGCAAAGGATCCCAGGTGTGTGTGGTGCGAAGTGGGTGAATAGCTTGCTCGAATGTCAAGGTGGACGACTTCTGACGAAGATTTCGAGCGCACCGTATCAACCCCCCGCCAAAATTATGACACCTGGGATCCCCCCTCAGAAAATCTGGACTGAATGCGCACGTGACTCACCGGGGCGTCACTGACCACCACGTGGCCATCCAATGTTGGGAGAGGACCTCGCGAAATTTGGTTCCGAGACGCGTCGCGGGGGGCGCGAGTGTCCTCTCGCAGGCGGCGTAAATGACAAGGACATCGAGGGTGGTGCAGCAACAACAACAAAGTATCAAGTCGAGGACAAGCGACCACCAGCCATGTCCGACTTTGACCCCTTCGACCCAGACGACGAGGCCGGAATCGTCAAACCCTATGGAGGCATCCACGAGGCCCCCGAGATCCAGGACGAGGAGGAGCGCCAGGAAATCTACCTCAACGCCGTCCAGAACCTCACCAACGCGCTCGGAGGATGGGAGTTCGACCCAGAAGCCGACGGCGGCAAGGGCGCCACCATCTACCGACCAGGTGACTCGGTGCTCCCCGTTCTGAAGGATCTGAAGAAGATGTGGCGCAAGGACGATACCGACGACGAGCGCACGGTGGCGCGCTGCATGCACACAGCGGGTCTCATGAAGGAGCTGGTCTCGCTGGTGTGCGAGGTCACGATGCGAGGAGAGTGGGGACGCAAGGTGTCCTTAATGGCTTGTGAGTAGCTTGCGGTTTCTGTTGATAGCTGACACTACAGTCGACCTCATTGCCGCTCTAACTTGGCCCATTGACGTCGCGCAGGAGCTGAAGGAGATGGAGGACGAGGGTCCGATTGTGACCGACTATGCCTCGCTACTCCGAGCACAGGTCGAGTACAAGGTGAGCTCCTCGTTCCCCCAAAGCTATCTGACGCTTCAGGCTATCATCATCGGAAGTGACACGTTGCGCTCTCTTCTGTCGATCCTCGTGCCGATCTTTGCCAAGGAGCGGCGAAACGACAAGGATGAACGGATCATCTCCCTTGGTCTCCACATTGTACGCAACCTGCTTGCTATCCGTGACGTTGTCGCTCCGGACTCAGCGACGGGCGAGAAGGAGGAGCTGTCCACTCTTCAGGTGAGCTTCATGCTTGTTGCCGTCAGCTGATTGCAGTCCCAACTGCTTGTGCAGCTCGACAAACTCACTTACCTCGAACTCTTCATTACGCTCGCGTCGCAGGCCGACCGGATGGAGTTCAACCCGTACAACATGCTCGTGCTCGACTGCTTGCAGCTAATCTTCCGGTGTATCAAGCCCGAGCAGCTCGTGAAGGATCCGGAGCGTGCGCCAGTGGAGAACCTGACGAAGCTTCTTGAGGGCGAGAAACGGCAACGGGCGATCACATCGCAGCATCGTGGATCACGACATTCGCGGTTCGGAACAACACTTTCAGCAAGAGCGGTAAGCTTTGATCGCACTTATGACAGCTGACAGATAGAACGGGCAGAGGATTGTTCTCCACTCCCAGAACGCGATCGTCGAGGATGTGGGTAAGGCGCTGGACAACAACAAGCGCAAGCGAGCAGCGCGGCTAAAGCGCATGGTGAGTTTTCGGAACCGACATGTTAGCTGACATGCAGGACGAGCTCACCGTCGATGTCTACTTCAGTGCAAACGCGCTGCGGGTCACACAAAAGTTTGCGCGCGAGTTCCTGGAGGGCTGCTTCAACGGTAAGTGCCTTTTGTATATGGAAGCTGACGTCAGACTTCATCGCTTCGGTTCTGAAGGATATTCGCATGGAGCGCAGCAAGGTGCGGCCGGCCGACACGATCCGAGCGTTGTTCGTCGCTGCCTACTCTATGGAGTATCTCATTCTGCTCCGAAAGAAGGCTCTCCCGAAGGCGGAGGAAGAGGCGCTCAAGGCCGTTAAGAACGGAACGCCGGTGGCCGAGGTCGAGCCTGCTAGCGTCAAAGTCGACCGCGAGCTGCCCCTTGGCTGGACGATCGAGATGGCAGACCTCGACAGCGTGCGCTGGGTCGTGTCCCGCATGAAGATTTCGATGGACAACAAGCCCATCGCGTGGACCGAGCTACAGGCGAGCATCGACTGCTTCACGTACATTGTGAGCTCCAGGGACTGGGGGCCTTAGCTAACAACAGCTTCTCTTGATCGACAACATGGCGCGCTCGCACGACGAGGAGGAAGCCAAGACGGCCGAGGTGCTCCAGAACCAGCTGTACTACAACGGTGACATTCTCGATGCCGCTCTCGAAGTCGTTGGTCGATACAAGGACCAGTCCATTGCGTAAGTTTTCCTGTTCCATGTCGGCAACTAACACCCAGATATCTCGAGTCCGTCATCACGTTCGCCTACGTCCTGCTCAAGATGCTCGAGCGCTACTCCAAGAACAAGCAATTCATGTTCGTGAAGAGGGCGACGAAGCGGAGGAAGAACAAGGCGCAGACTGACCGGGACGGTGTCGCTCCTGTGCCAGAGGAGTACGAGAATGAGTCGGAGGACGAGGGTATCCCCGCCGACGACGCGCCTTCGTACGCCGAGCACACGTTCACGTTCACCAAGTTCGAGAAGAAGTTCGCGTCCGAGGGCGTTTCCAACACTCTGCTTGCGTACCTGCAGCGGTACAAGGAGCTGGATAACGACAAACTGCGCCGCGTCGTTGGCATGATCCACAGGCAAGTCGTCAAGGCGCAGGCCGAGGGACTGTACTTCCAGGTCTCGTCGCTCGCGCTCTTCCGCGACATCATGGACAACAAGATCTCGCTCCCGCCCGGAGATGCTGCGCGCGACCTGATCCAGCTCGTCACGTTCATTTCCCGCAAGTTCTTCAAGCGTCTGCAGGAGGACCCCTTCCTCATGATCGAGGCGCTCATGCCCAAGACGAGGGGACGGTGGAAGGAGCTCTCGTCGTGGAAGGGAGACGGGGACGACGAGATGGGCGGCCAGCGGTCCCGTATTCGCGAGCAGGTGAGCTGGCCAGTGTTTTGGGAAGCTAACAGACAGATGGGTCCCGCCAGACTCGAGTTCATCAAGAAGCGCGACCTGTCGACGTCGCAGAAGATTGGCGCGCTCGTCAAGCACTTTGTGGACATGGATCACGAGGACTACATCAACTGGATCATTACGGTGAGTAGCAGCTAGTATTACGTTCTTTAGCTGACGGGCAGATTATGGAAATCATCCTCTCAGAGCGCAAGGAGGTCATCCTCACCACCGACGGCGAGGACGCGCTCGACGAGGACGAGCCAAGCGACGATGCGCGCAAGAAGATCCAGATCTACTGTAAGCTCTCGAGCGCCCTTTCCAAGCTGACATCAGACTTGCGCCCATCGGACCCAGCCCACGTCGATATCACGAAGAGCGACCCTTACTTCCGCCTGTTGCTCACAACCCTTGGATTCTGGGACACGACCTCCGAGGCGCCCTCCGAGGACTCAAGCTCAGAGGTCGGGTGGGTCTACCCTCCCTCAGAACTTCCTGCCACTATCGAGCCCCTCCTCTCAGCGCTGCAGGAGAACCTGGCCTTCCCGCCCACAGACCTGGGCGAGATGAAGACGCTCGTGCGACGAGTATACAAGCGCCGCGCGGCCGCCTCCGACTCCGACGATAGCGACGACGGAGCCGATAGTGACGGCGAAGGTGGCGTGCGGCCGAAGCGCAAGCGTCGGCGCCGCGGATCGGACGAACCGCGTCCGCCGAGGAAGAAGGCGCAAGAGGTGCAGTCGTACAAGTCCGCCGCCTTCATCTGGGACTCGGACGACGACGAGGAAGCCGATGCGGCCTTCTTCGCGCGCGAGGCGGCGCTCCGTGCCGAAATGGGCAGACACGGGCAGGAAGCCGAGGAGGAGATCCGCGCGATCATGGAGGGCAAGACGCTCCGCAAGCCGCGCCGTTCTGCCTCTCCGACCTCTCTCGCCGGCGACGATGGCGACGACGAGGGCATGGAGGGCATGCAAGTCGACGAGGAGGCGGTAGAGGTGGACGAGGAACTGCACCAGAAGCGGGCGCGGGAAAAGGCGCTCCGGAAGGCCATCATGGCCGAGTGGATCGAGCACGACGACGACAACTGGCAGCCCCCCGAGCACCCGGAGTGGTACTGGCAATACGGGTGGAAGGATGAGGAGGAGTTCCAGCTCCGCAAGGCGGGACTGTGGGACTCGGACGCCGAGGGACCCAAGGAGATCAATTCGGACTCTAGTGAAGATTCGGACTCGGACGATGACACTCCTGCCGCTCGTGCTCGTGTTCGGCCTGATGCTACCCCCCGGCGTCGCGCCACGACTACAGCCGACCCCGACGAGAAAGGTGTCGAGGGCGCGGAAGGCATGAACACGGGGGACAACGAGAACGAGACCCCCGTCTCTGCCTTCGCCTCTGCCCCCGCCTCTGCCCGCTCGCCGTCCAGCGAGGGGGACAAGGAGAACCGGCCCCCCGCACCTGCGCCCATGCGCGCAAAACTCGCCGCACTCGCTGGGCTCGCTGAGCCGGCGGACTTGCCCATGAATGCGGGCGACGATGACGAGTCGGCGGCGCCTGTTGCTCGCCGTCGCCGCGTCGTGGAGAGCGATGATGAGGACTAGGTGCTCCGCTCAACCAGAGAAGGAAGAAGGGAAAGTGATGTTGTAACATATGCATACAGTAGATTGCCCCGCCTCATAACGCTACAGTCCGCCTTCCAAGGCTCAGACTCTGGCTCCCGCCAGCCAGGGCTCGGAGCTCGGCCTGACGGTCTCGCTCGCTCGCTCACTTAGCGCGTCGCGCCAAACCGTCCAAAGAGCATCTCGCCCACGCCCGCGCCAACGACGACGCTGATGATCCACCAAATCTGGAAGGTCATGACGACCAGCATGAGCGCATAGTGCAGTGCCGTGATGAAGGTCCACATGAGGCCGCGGGGGATGTCGACGGCGGGGCGGAAGGGGCGGCTCCAGCGCCCGACGCGGGCCGGGTCCAGGTTGCCCACGACGGCGGAGGGGAGGTGGGAGCGGGACCTGCGTGCCGTGCGTGCCGTGCGTGTGCCTTCGGGGTATGCCAGCGAGGGGGTCGAGGCCGAAGCGTAGGAGGAGAGGGGGGCCTCCTTGTCGAGCCCGCGCGAGGGGTCCGCGACAGTGTAGAGGGGGGAAGAGGACTGGCCACACTCCCCCCCACACCCGCAATTACACGCCGCGGGCACGCCGCCCCCACAGCAACTTCCCCCCTGCTTCTCGAGCACCTTTTCGTCCCCCGTCGCACACGACGTGAACACGGGCGGCTGGCTGCCTGAGCTGCCTGAGCTGCCTGCGCTCCCCCTCCGTTCCTCGACCAAACCTTCATTCCCCCCGCTCACTCCTGCCGCTGCCGCAGCCGCAGTGGTCCGGTTCGTCAGCGTGCGGGCAATCGGAGCCTCGGTGCTCGTGGCCATGACGACCTGTCCCGCGTCCTCGTACGCGAGGTCGCCCCGCGCAACGGGGAGCGCGAACCACACCCGGCCCCGGGCCCAGTGCGCGTTGCATGCGCGCCACATGGCGTGCATGTACCGGTCGAAAATGGAGATGGCGAAGAGCGCGATGCACACGCCCACCGTCGCGCCGGGGCCAGAGGGGTGCCACGACTTGAACCAGAGTACTGGCGTTAGCTTGTGTTGTTTTCACATCTTCGCCATGTCCATGTGCAGGTCAGGGAGCGGAGAGCGGCAAGGGCGCACAGATGGAAGGAGGACTTCGAGGACGTCGTCTGCGGCTGCGCAGAAGCTGACAACCGTCACTGGTCGATGTCGCACGCTCGCACGCTCACACACTCGCACACTCGTACTTCGTGCTCGCGCCGTCTCGCCGCCTCGCCGCCTCGCCGCCCGCTCCGCTCGACGTCGTACTCACAGTCATCCCCGATAGTCCCATGGACCCACATCTTCATCCCCGTCATGGCGCCCATGTGCTCGTCCCCGCCCATGTCCATGCTCCCGTCGCCCATGTCCATGCCGCTCATGTCGTGCCCGGTCGTAGCCGCGGCCGCCGCGGAAGTCGTGCCGTGGACATGGCCCTCGTGGGCTGCAGCTCCGAGCGTGAGCGCCAGGCCGAGGAGGGTAGCCAGGCGCAGCTGGTCGGAGAGTGAGCGCGGCATTGTCGCTGCTGTCGGTCCAGATGTGGGAGAGAGAGGTGGGTGGAGGTGAAGAGCGTGCCGGCCGGCTATTTACGGCCTGATGACCTGATGAATTTGGGGATTGGTAACGTTGAAAAAGCTGCGGGCTCGGCGTGTGCACGTCGTGATCGGCCGAGCTGGTCGTGCGTGTGTGTGTCAATGGGCAAGTGTACGACGTTAACTTGTCAGCGTTCGGCGTCATTGCCCGCCGTCCCCCGAGCCAGCTTACAGCACCCACCCGTCCAACAAGGTTCAGTTATATACAGCCCCTCAACCGGCCAGCCCCTGCCAGCGAATCACAGCCGGTTTGGCGCCACTGAGCCAGACTGAGCCAGCTGGGTTCAGGCACGGGCCCGAGGCATTTTCAGAACCCCCCCCCCTAGCTACCTAGCTTTCTCCATAGCGCTCTTCCAGCTCTCCCGTGTTTCTGGTGTTCTGCTCCGACGCACTCCGGAGCGATTCCAAGCGATGAGGTATTGGGTGGGCAAGACTGGAGCCTCAGTGGGCCTCAGTGGGCTTCTGGGGAGATGTCGGAAGGTGGAATCGGGTGTGATCAGCTGCTCACGCTCTGATGCGGCCTTTCACGGCGTGATCGACAATGTGAGGCACTTTCCGCCGATCACATTCCGGGCACGAATTCCGGTGTGCTGGTGGCACCATCTTGTCCGCCGGCCGCAGGACCAAGATAGCGGCTTCGTCCACGGACGATTGGGCACGTTTCGAACTGTCTCGCGTATACAAGAGGGCCGACGCCCAGATGCGTTCCGATGGAGTGGGAGGTGTGATGTACATGTGATGTGCATGTGTTGCTCGGGTGGGGTAGAGATGTGCGACAGAGGGAGTGAAGTGGGCAAAAGAAACCAGAAGTATGGCGCTGCGCCGATTACGAATGTCCAAAGTTGGCCGGACACAGCAGGCAGCACTGTAACCCATTCAGACAACGCAGCAGCTTCGATCAGCTCCGTACGTACGGGCTTGAGACTCGGATACCGGCGTAGACCGGGAAACAGGCAGGCCATCAAACAGTGCATCCAGAACGGGCACTCTCGGATCGCCTATCGCGCCGTTGCAGGCGATAGCGAGCAACAGCGGGACCACGAAACCAAACCCATGGAGTCTGTGAGGATCGTCAGGAATCGTCTCGGACCGAAGATACCCCGGAACGATAGACAACAACGGAGGCGCGGGGAGAGAACAGAGGGGACTGTCTTTAGGACTGCCTTTAGGCTCATGCAGATCCAACGTTGGATGATCTCGTCTCTCCTCTCTCTTCATCATTCCGTCACTCGGAGACGCGGCGAGTGTCGCGCTCTAGCTGATGGCGGCTACGTCCGCTACGTTCGCTGCGCCCGCTACGCCCGCTGAGTCCGCTACGTCCGGTCCTCCACGTCCGCTACGTCCGCCTCAGACAAGAGTAAACAAGAGTGGGAACGAGGAGACTCAGCAACAAAGGGGAATGGATACATCATATCAAGTCGCGAACACTCTACACACTCTACACTCTACTGCCTCTCTACTCCGCGCCCATCGTCAAGTCGGGCTTACCCCTCTCCGCCTTGTCTCCATTCTCCCTCCCTCCCTCCAGTTCCCTCGTCTGCGTCGCCGGACTCGCCCCCTTCTCGCCCCTGTCCTCGATCTTCAAGTCCCGAATAGCGTTCGCGTCCTTGGCGCTCATGCCGAGCTGGCTCCTCCTCTTCAGGTCCGTCTGGCTCCTCTTCCTGCCCCGCGAATCCAGCACACTGGCGCCAACGAGCGTGGGCTGGTGTCCGTGGAGCACGGCGTTCGTGTGCGCCATACTCGCCGCGGCGACCTGCTGGGCGGAGGAGTGCTTCAGGGGCATCGGGGTGGGGCTGGGCGTGTGCCTTCCATACCGGATCAGCTGGAGTTCCTCCAGCAGCGTCGAGTGCCGGTAGCTCAGGCGGATACTGGGCACGTTGGTGCGGTGGATGTCGTTACCTGCCGCACCGGGGAGGTAGTAGTGGTTTCCGATCCAGTGCTTTTTCACCTGCAGCTCCCAGCCTGATTGCAAGACCGAGTTGCGCGCAAGCTCACACATGTCGGCGGGCGTGAGCTTGTAGATCTGCGCCGCACAGCTGTACTCCTCCAGCAGATGTTGGGCCGTGAAGTGGAACTGCAGCGGATCGTCCGTGCTCAGGCTCACGTTCATGCCCACCTTGAAAAAGTCCTTGAACGGGTTGCGCTCGTAGGTCAGGAACAGCGCGTTGTTGCTTAGCGGGGACATGGCGAGGCCGATCTGCTTCAGGTAGAAGAGATACTGCAGGGCGGGGACTTTGCGCAGCAGGATGCCGTGCGAGATCGAGTGCGACGTGAGGAACGCAGAGGACAGGTGGTCCGGGTCGCCCGCCTCGCCGCAGTGCGGGCGCAGCACAAAGGTGCAGAACCCCCTTTCCTTTCGCCACGCATTCAGCGACGCCATGTTCGCATACATGTAGTACAGCCAGTAGGAGTAGGGCGGGGACTGGCGCGTGTTCCACTCTTGGGCTGGCGGGAATTTCTTGTACAGGCGGCGCTCGGGCTTTGATTCGTCGTCGACGCTGTCGAACCCGACCACTCGCTGCAGGAACACGTGCAGTTCGGGGTGGGACGAGGGGTCGGCCGTCACTTCGAACAGGGGCTGGAAAATGTTGCGCACCACGTCCTCAAAGTTCGACACGAGTCCGCCAGCCTTGTACACCTCGTACAGGCGGGGGACCTGGATGAGCCAGCGCACGTTGTGCGACACGAGTTTGTTGTTCACGACCCATTTCGCCAGCTTGTCCCACTCATTCAGGCTGCGGCCGTAGATACTCAGGCGCCACTCCGAGTGCTGGTACTTGCTCTGCTCGAGGTCGGCGATCAGCTCGGTCGTCAGCTCGGCCAGATAGCTCCCGCCCAGCAGGTTGTCCGTCTTGAGGAAGATTTCGCGCAGACGCGACGACCCCGTGGGATTGTACCGGTTGTTGAAGCGGTCGAAGCGGTGGAACTCTTGGTGCGCGTGCATGTCCAGCGTGTCGATGGACAAATCGTACGCCGTCAGGTTCAGCGACTCGAACACCTCCTTGAGCGTCAGGTCGCGCCCGTCGCGGTGGATCACAATTTCGTCGGGACACTTGCGCAACTTGGCCTTGATGAAGCGCAGCAGGTGCTTCTGGTTCATGCTCGCCGAGTGGTGGATGTGCGTGTCGACCTTGCGCACGTTGTAGAAATCACGGTGCGGCACAGCCTTCATGTCCGCCAGTTCTTGGTACTCGTTCAGCAGCGTGTAGAGCGTCCACTTGGAGCTGAGGTACTTGAGGCGGCGGAAGGCGAACGACTTGGCCGGGCCGTCACTGCACACGCCCAGGAGATAGTCGAGATCAGAGTAGTACTCCTTCAGGTTGGGGACGCGCGAGAGCGTCTTGCCCCCAGCGTCGTAGACGCGATACACTCCCTCTCCGTCCAAGGCAAAGGTGTGCTTGCTGCCCTCGGGCTCGGGGCCGGGAATGTCAAACTGCGACAAGTCGAATTTGGGCGTCTGCGTCGACGTCTTGGACTTGCGCTCCTGCGCATCCTCGGCCGGGGCCGGGTGCACGCTCTCGCCCTGCTTCTCCCACTTCCAGTGCGGGTCCGGCGGAGGCGGGACCATCTTCCAGCTCTGGCTCGGGTCGGGCGGCAGCTCGGCGCCCTCTGCCTCTGCATCCGCGCGCAGGCCCATGACGTCCCCCCGGCCCTCCTTGAAGCCGACAAACGTGCCGTCGTGGTCGCGCGGGTTGTCGCCGAGCCGCTGGTTCGAGAGCTCCATGTACTTGTCGCGGAGCTCAAGGCAGCGCGAGAAGGCACCATACAGCGCCTCCAGCTCGCTGCCGACGCCCGACTCGGCAAACGCCTTGACTGGATTTGGTCAACATAAAAGTGGTACGTCATGGTGACTCACCCGTGTCGACTGCCGCCTCGTGCAGTTCGTCTTGGTGGTGGCGGTCCTGCCCGCCGGGGAGGTATGCGTCGTCCATTCCAAAGGCCCGCTCCTCTTGCTCCTCCTCGAGACCGAGGCGCTCGTCATAATTCAGCTCGTTGCGGTGGATCTGGACATCGATCGGGTCCAGGTCGCCATACTCGGGCCCGCTGGGCGAGAGCATCGAATTGCCTCGTGCGGGAGCAGAGCCAAGACCGTGATAAGCCCCTGTGCCGTGGGGGCCGAGGTCCTCCTCCTCCTCGCTCTCGTCAGAGGGCGGGCGCTGCGAGGGCTTTGGTTGCGTTGGCGACTGCTGCGTTCCAGAGGCAGAGGCGTTGCTGCGCGTGCTCTGCATCAGTGCGTCCATGGATGCGGTCGGCGAAGTGGCGAGCGCGGCGGGAGGGAGGCGGGGGAGCTTGTGCGAGAGCCAGTACTCGTCAGATTTGAGCAGGCGCCGCTCCTCGTGGAAAGAGAAGGAGGGCGAGGCGCGCGTCTGCGGCGGGGTCGGGATGTCGGGTGTGTCGAGGCGGTCGAGAGGGGGGCGAGCCGGCTTATCACTCGCACCGTTCCCATCGGTCGCCGCACCGTTATTGTTCGCATCGTTGGGTGGCTGATGAGCTGTCTCGTTCGGGGCACCGGCTGCCCCGCCCAGGGGGAGAGGGGGGTTCTCCTGTGCAGACATCTGGCAGGTTGATGTCTTAGTGGAGTAAACTGGTTCTGGAGGGAGGTGTATGTGGATGCGTGTTACACCAGCGACTGGAACGTGTGAGCGGCAACAGCTCTGTCCAGCGGCACTGAAAGATTGCGGCAAAGGGCGAGGAATGACGCCTGGGTGCGGGGAAAGTGTGGGGGATCACGTGTTGGGTGGGGGCCGTTGCACGTGTGCCTGACTCTTGGGCTGATAGTGGGAATGAGGTGTGTGGATGAGTTGCGCAGTCTCCTATGCATGCGACGGGGAGTGCAGCAATGTTGTGGGCAGTCTGAGTGACATGGACCGGCCTGGTTGTGCAGAAGCAGGAGCGGATGTAGAGGAATGGAAGAGCCCGGTGACCAAGAAGAGAAGAAGGGCTATTCTTATGCACTACTGGGATGAAATACGGGCAGTGAACGCTCGGACCTCGCAGTAGTGGCAGGGATCTCGATCTCTCCGATGGTGGCGCCGTGGGCTGCAGGCGGTGCCAACACAAGAGATGCAGAGATGCCCGGGTGGCGTTAGCTGTGCAGGCCAGGCGTCTGTGCAATGACATGGTCCGTGATCCGTGACCGCCCACTACAAAAGTATTGCCTCGTCAGGAGCGGGCAGGACACTTTGAGGAAGTGGTTACGGGAGGAGCAGTAGCAGTAGAGCAGTGGTGGGTATGCGATGAGCGAGCGAGCGATCCACTGTGCGACCCAAAAGGTGGTCGTTGTCTCCGGCACGGGTTCGGCAGCACAGACCTTTTGAGTGAGTCAGGTCACGGGGTTGCAACGGCGCAATGAGTGGAACGCGTCGCGGCGTCGCGGGCCCTCGCGATTCAGACTTTCCGAAACTACGGGCCACCTTTCGAACCCCCCGCGCAGCACACGGCACACTCGGATCAGATGACCCAAAGCATCGAGCATCGAGTGTGCAGGTCCGTAGCATCGATGCACAGTTCGTCGTCTCAACTCGTACTCTATCAGCGTGGGAGCCCGTCTCCATGCATGGTTGCGCTGCCAAGAAACGAAAACGGCCCTGGCCCTGGTAGATGGTACTATTCCTTGGGCGATGTGCCGTTGGACGCGGTCTTCACGCGCGTGGTGGCTTCACTACGCGTCTCTTTCCACGGCCCTCCCCCCTTTTCCGGTTTCGACCC